TCCAACGACTTGGGACAGCACTCCCCCAATGCCCGTGTTGCTAGCATCCGTGTCTAGCAAGAAGGGACTCTCAAAGTCCGGATAGCGCAAGGGTGGGGCCCTTACCAAGGCGTCCCGGAGGGAGCAGAATGCAGCCTCCTCCTCCGGTCCCCACCGGAACTTCACTCCTTTTGCCGTTAAAGCGTGCAAGGGCTTTGCAATGGTGGCGAAGTGCTCAACGAATCGGCGATAATACGAAGCAAAACCGATGAAACTGCGCACGTCTGACACTGACGTGGGCGTCGGCCACGAACTGACACAGTCCGTCTTCGCAGGATCGGTAGAAATCCCCGAAGAGTCGACAATGTGACCCAAGTACCTCACGGATTTACGAAAAAGATGGCATTTGGCCGGTTTAAACTTTAATTTAGCCGATCGCATTCGCAAGAACACCCCTCTCAATCGCTGGAGGTGTTCTTCGAACGTTTTACCGAAAACAATGACATCGTCAAGGTAAATGAGGCACGTCTCCCACTGCAAGCCCGACAAAACCAATTCCATAAGACGCTGAAACGTCGCAGGAGAGGAGTGAAGTCCCATGGGTAACCGGTTGAACTGAAACAGGCCCCCTGGAGTCCGGAATGCAGTCTTAGGCTTAGACTCCTCGTCGAGTGGCAACTGCCAAAATCCGGACAATAAATCAAGAGTCGAAAAGTATCGCGCACCGGACAATGCGTCGAGAGACTCGTCCATCCTGGGGAGCGGATACGCGTCGGCCACCGAGATCTTATTCAGGCGGCGGAAATCGACGCAAAATCGCAGGGACCCGTCCTGCTTTTTAACGAGCACAATAGGTGCTCCCCAAGGACTGGAAGAGGGCGAAATAATGTCGGCTTCCAGCATATCGTTAACTGCCGACTGAACATGTTCCTTCTCAGCCGGACTCAGTCGGAAGGGATTTTGCCTGACCGGCGCCGCATCGCCCGTTTCAATGTGGTGGCGTAGCAGGTCCGTGCATCCGATATCATACTTATGTTTACTGAAGACATCCGAAAATTCAATCAGCAACCCGCGCAACGCACCCAACTGTCCCGCTGACAAATCGTCAGAGTCCGCGCACAGCATATCAATCCAATCTAGGTCCTCCTTTGATGGTACGCTATTCGTGGGGCTCGGATCAGCCTGCGCAACCAGCCTCTCCTCCGCAGGGACCCGTGCCGCGTGAGCCAGCACGGTGCCCTGCTGAATGACGGCCGGCCGCGCCCCAGCGTTTAAAACCATGACAAACGGATCCCTGTCTGCCCCAACCAAAGTGTGAGCCACCGATAAATCGAGACCTCCAACAGCCCTATTAGAAGGACCCAAAAGCATGGCCTGTTCCGAGGCCTCCTTCCCCCATGGCTTCCGTAACCGGAGGGGAATCAACATTTGTGAACCCGGGGGCACGTGCACGGTCTGTGTTGCTAATGCCTGAATGGTAGCGCACGCCGTCCGAATTACATTAGGGCTCGTCAAAAATGAAATACGGCGACCCGATGGTAGTTCAATGCAACGCTGATCAATGAGAATTTTGATGGGCATTTTCGCCAAAAAATCAGTGCCCAATAGGCAAGGAACCGCCAGGGAAGATGAAACGAAAACGGGTCCCGACAATTTGATATCACCAATGCAAATGGACGCCCTAATCTGACCGATAATGCCCAACGATCCCCCGTTAGCGGCGTAAAATGGCACATCCACCGGAAGAAGCGGACGACATTGTACCGGGAGAATATTATAAATGAGATCCGAAATAATAGTCGCCGATGCCCCCGTGTCCACTAACACCCTGACCTCGACCCCATCAATCGATCCGGTAACGACGGACGAACCCGCTGAGGCAGCCACTATTCTGTGCCCCAATTCCGACCATTTAATGTCTCCCCGGTCCCGGCCGAACCCCCCTCTCCGAACCGAATCCCCGAACTCTACTCGGCTCTCCCTCGTCGCAACGCGACGACCCATACGTGTCGAGTATGCGGGCCAAGCATGTGAGGTGCCGCGACTTGCCGGGGTTTGCAGTGATGACTTGGGGCCTTGGTCGTCGTCCAGCCAAGGTCCCATGGCGCGCTGATGTGGGGCGCGGCAACCGGAGGCCACGTGGCCACGAAGGCCGCAGTTATAGCAGGTGATGACAGTAGTCGGAGATCTCGGTTGCTCCAGCTTGCGGGCCGCTCGCAGAGGCGAACGACCCCCCGACCTCCAGTCCCCCGCTCGTCCCGCGATGAACGCGTCCTCTCGTGGGCTGACGACTTGGGGCACGGTGTCAACCGGACCCGGAGTTGAGGCCACGGCAGCGTTGCAGACGACCCCCTGCTTTCGTTGAAGGACCTCGTGCGCTTGCATGCTCGTGGCGACCCGTAATGAAGAAATATCGGTCTCGTCGGCCGTGTTGATGGGGACCCCCAGGTCCTGCGCCAACTTGAGCAGCTGCTCCAAAACCATCGCATCTTGGCCCTCCTCGTCCATACGAGGGAACGCGGCGTCAGCGAGAGCGAGCAACGCCGTGCGGTAGGCGAGCACGGTCTCCGTGTCCGCCTTCCGTCTTGCGTAGAAATGATGGCGGCACGCCGAGGGAGGACCGTAGACTTTTGCCATGAGAGCCAGCGCATCCTTGAGCGTGGAGCGGTCCGACCTGCGTGCGGACGTGAAGGCCGCGAGCGCGTTGTCGTCCAGCATGGCAGGCAGTGCCCGCAGTGCCGTAGCGCCGGACCAGGCGGACATCTCCTGATGCGCCAAAAATCTGCGCTGAAATTGGCTCCAATCCCCGCCTTCCGCCTTGAATGCTGACAACGTGGGAAGGCGCTGCTGAAAGATAAAGTCGTCCTCCTCCTCGTGCTTCCTCTCTGCCCCCCCGTCGGTGTGTAAGATGGCGGCCCCAGTGGCGGGTGTGTGATGGCGGTCCGCCGCGCGCGTTGGTGACGTCAGCGCCCGCGCATGGAGAACCGCTGCCACGTGGTGATGGCCGTTCCCGCCAAAAGTTGGAGCGGAAGAAATGGCGGGAATCGCCAAATCGTTTTGGCGGGAATCTGCAGGGCGAGCTGATCTCCGCCAAGATGGACGCGGCGGCGAGCAGCAGCTCCGCCAGACGGGAGTGTGCCTCGCGAAGCACGGTGTCAGTCCCCCGTCGCTCGTCCGGCGCCGTCGGTGGATCCTGCCCCGTGGGCAGCTTCCTCTTCCTCACCCCCTGATGCCCGCTGGCCCGCGTCGTCGAGGTTGTCCTCGTGGTCAATCCCGTGGGTCCGACGGTTCTTCCTTGTATCCATGCTTGGAGGACCGTTTCACTTCTGACGCCAGTTGAAGTATTGGAATTGACGGCAGGAACTTCTTGACGGGTAACACACTTTTATTAAATCCTTTAGGTATCACAATACAACGTGTGGTCTTTCTTCTTCCGACGACACACTCCACTAATCTCGTGTAAGCTCTAGGCCTCTGGCTACACCCGATACACTTGACTCGTGTAGACCCTATGCCTCTGGCTACACACAATATACTCGACTCGTGTAAGCCCTATGCCTCTGGCTACACAATACACTCGACTCGTGTAAGCCCTATGCCTCTGGCTACACAATACACTCGACTCGTGTAAGCCCTATGCCCTGGCTACACACAGTACATTCGGCTCGTGTAGACCTATGGCTACACCCACTACACTCGCCTCTGGGTTACACAGAGTCCCGGTCCCCTTAGGACAGCGGGGCTAGGTACCGCAGGGCTCTAGGTCTTCATCCCCGTCTTCATTCTTCGCTGGTTACACACTGCCCTTACGCCTGTGTGCATCCCCTTTTATAGCCTCTGCTCACGAGAGACGGAGCTGATGCGGCGTCGACGTGAGCGTCGTTCCTTACTGAACCAATCACGACGCACTCTCTCTACGATCCGCTTTCCCCAGCGCGTGTTAACCTTACTCCACCAATCACACTGCGCTGCCACCTGATCACTCCCTCTCAGCGCGTCACCCGCCCACAGCCAATCGGTACCCCGTAACCCACGACCCCGCGCTGACCCCTGATCCTCCACCGTCAGCGCGCGTCACCACCTACACAGCCAATCATCACGCACTGTGCATACGATCCTTAATCCCAGCGCGTATCACCTCTACATTTGGAAGGGAAGTCCCCTTCCATAATAACGTCCGGTAACTGCCCTTATGGGGTTCTTTCTCTTTTGTGCTTCTTTTCTGCCACTAACTGTGAGTCACTTGAGCTCTTTCTGACTAAAAACTAATTTAAAGAGGTTTGTTTCTGCCTCCGTTTTAGGATGTTTCAAAATGACATTGCATTATCATTAAAAAGATGTCTCACTCAGTTGGCTACTGCCTTATCTGGGTGAGAACTACGCGTTAACTTAGCCTCTCATGCGGTAAAACCTTTGTCTGGGCATGCATCATGACGCTGGCCATACGCGTCTCGGCCATACAGGTTCTTTCAAGTCGCGATTGCCCGTTCGACCTCCGAATTTTCGGTCGGTTTCTGGGGCAAAAAATGTTCCGAAATATCGTTCGAACACCGATTTGTTCGATCTCCGAGGTTCTACTGTATATAAATTGTTACTTAACATACTATCCAGGAGTAACCCGACTTTAACTCTAACATATACATTATTGGATTAAGTTTAAAGAGGTATTGTTAAGCGCACCTGCTCTTGACACATCACAGGACATGGGGATAACTCATGAACAGGGGGACACTGAGACTCAGAGGAACACATGGGCACACGTGGAACACTGAGACTCAGCGGGACATATGGGCACACTTGGAGACACTGAGACTCAAAGGGACACGTGGGAACACTGCATTTATGTGGAGTGTTGTCCATGTCCTATGAAAAATATTAAATCCACTTTAAAATGGCTCTGAGCCACTCGCTGTGGTTTCGTTATAATTAGATGGTGCTGTTGACAGCCAATGACAGAGTTCATCAGCTTATGCTGCTGTATCGTGGGTACTACTCGGTGACTGTGATAACTTTCTCCTCACCTTTCGTTTGTCGTGCTCCATCTTCAGAGTGACGAGCTCATGCCCTCGATGATCCACAGTGACGGTGCAGTCCCTGCAGACGAGGCGTCCATCGTTAACGCAGTAGAAGAGGTACTCCTCTCCGTGTTCCACGCACCGTCGATTCTCCAGGTTCACACCGGGCGACACCAGGACGTGGTCACTAAACTTTGCCAACTTCCGGTGGGGCGCGACGTGGGTCATACAGAACGACGTCTCACACTTGAGGCAAGTCATCACTGCGGGCTTCCTGCAATGATCGCAGCAAACAGCAGAAGCAGCAGAATCGGCAGCCATGGGCTCAGCCACTCGCAGCTGCTCGATGAGGTTAGTGAGCGTCACGCTCTTGTTCAGCTTGGGCCTCCGAGGAAAAGTCACTCGGCACTGTGGGCAGGAGAAGGACTCTGCCGCATGCCAGGTGCCTTCCAGGCACTCGAGGCAGAACGAGTGGCCGCATCCCAGCGTGCAGGGGCAGCGGAAGGCGTCCAGGCAGATGGGGCAGGTCAACTCCCCTGGAACCTCGCTATTACTTGGAGCCGCACTCGCCATGGCCCTGTGGCTTTGCTCAGAGACGGGCGCTGGCTGGAGCTCAGGCAGTCTCTGGCTGTAGCTCAGGCAGCTTCTTGCTGTAGCTCAGGCAATCTCTGCCTGTAGCTCCGGCAGTCTGCCTCTAGCTCCGGCAGTATCTAGCTATAGCCCACGCAGTCTCTAGCTGTTGCTCAGGTAGTCACTTGCGACATCTGAGACACTAAACCAGGAACAAGCCACTTAAATGTGAGGCAGGTTAAAGTACAAAGTCTTTCAGTTTGATTTGCATATCATGAGGCGCACCCTGGAATGTGTTGACTTGTGACCGGGTAGACATGTCTCGGCGCCAGAAATGGCTAGATAAAATCAGCTAATCCAATCTCTAATCACCTCATCTCAACTAACCTCTTGTAACTCAGCTCACGTCAACACACTTCTGTGAAGGTTGGTCCATCTTGGCCCGATGAACCCACTTGTTGTCCACACAGATGCTCTCACAAACAACAGCTACCCTCCAATTACACAAACTTACGAGCCCCACCGTCATGCTCGCTCAGCTCACTGCTGCTGGTGCTGCTGTGCCCCCGCTGGTGACGCTGGCTCAACTGTTGCTGCTGCTTCTCCCGCTGGCGCCGCTTCTTTTGCTGGTGCTGTTCTAAAAGTCAACCCCTTTGTATACTTGAAGGTGCCAATGTGTTTTGGCTACCCGGCCTCTATCCACATCCAGATAATTTCAGCTTCAAATGGACCAGAAACCAGTCGAGTAAGACTCGTAGGATCGTCTCTCCAGCACTCCCAACACAGCTTCACCTGCTGTATCATCATTGAACACCACTGTGAACCACGTAATATTGTTTCCGTGACAACGAGATAGGGTAATGGAGAAGAGGTCAGGCGTTACTATAGAGAAAGAAAGAGGGTAAGAAGTGAGGCTGCTTCATGTACAGGGGCAGTGTAGAGTCTATCAACAGTGTTGAGTCTATGGGCAGTGTTGAATCTATGGGCAGTGCTGTTCAATGTACAGGGGATGTTTATCCAGTGGAGGGTCCAAAGAGGAATACGGATCTATAACGGGATTGAGTACAGGGAGAAAGAGGGACAGAGAGACAAGGACTCAAACTACACCATTGCAACCTGTACTCAACTCATTTATTCACCATCTCACTCACCCACTCATCCATTCACTTTCTCATTCACTCACCCACCATCTCACTCAATTACCTACCATCTCACTATTTCACCCACTCGCCATCTCTGTCACTCAATTACCCCTTCATTCACTCACCCACAAACTCACTTCTTCACTCACCCACTAACCAGCATTTCACTCACCCACCTACAATATCAGGCACTAATTCACCTACTCGCTCATTCAACCATTAATTAACTCATGCGCACACCAAACATCTCAGTCATTTGCTCACTCATTCACTCACTCACTCAGCATCTTAGTAATTTATTCACCCACTAACTCATTTACTCACCCACTAACTCACCCACTCACTCAACCACCATATCACTCACGCACAATCCCACTCGCCCACATATGCATGTCACAAAACGCGCCCTGGAAAGTGCCGACGTCAGGGGTTGATGGTCAAAGTCCATCTCAACTAACCTCCTGTCAACTCACCTAATCTCAAGTAACCTCGTGGAAACTCATCTCAAGTCACCTCATTCTCACACCTCATCTCACCTCAATTAAACTCACTTCTTCTCAACTCACCTCATCCTCACCTTCTCAACTCACCTCACCCTGAAAGACCTCACCTTAAAATCACCTCATCCACCCACTCACTCACCCATTAATTCGCTCATGCTCCATTTCAAACATTCACTCACCATCTCACGCACCGACTTACTCACTCTCAACTGGATAAAGAAATAAACTCCTTGTGGAGCTGCCCATTTACCGTTTCATAACAAAGCCACATTGTAACAAAGCGATGAATTACTACAATGACCACAATCCACAAACACCTGAAACCACCGTCTGCTACACGGTACATGTTAACGAGCCCATGTGTAATGCGGGCGTAAATGGGCGGGGCGGATATGACGATCCGAGAGGGAGGAGTCAGGGTGACGTGGGGGAGAAGTTATAGCGGGGAGACAGGAAGCTATCTGGGTCAGTCGGGGGAGTGAAGGGTGGTGAACACGTTGGGTGGTCGCCGTGCCTCAGCCTGGTGGCTGAGGGGCTCATGACGGCGCCAGCCAGCGGGGTGGAAGAGAGAGTGGAGGATTGAGGTAGGAAGTGGCGAGATAGCCACAGAGGCCACGAAGGGCTGAGGTAGGAAATGGCGAGATAGCCACAGAGGCCACGAAGGGCTGAGGTAGGAAATGGCGAGATAGCCATAGAGGCCACGAAGGGCTGACATTGGGAGGTGGCGAGATCGCCACGCACGGAGGAACAGGGAGCAGAGATGGAGCTGCTGTGAGAGCAGCCAGAGGGCTGCACCAAGAGCCTGCAGCGGAGCTGCAGGAGCGTGGAAGGCTACGGGAGCGAAGGCAGATGTGGGGCTGCCAGGGAGAGAGTCTCAGGAGGAGTGCCGTGTGGGAAGGAGAACGCGAACCCCAAATAAAGGACACGGAGTCAGAGAGAAGCGTCTGAGTCCTTTTATTACACATGCATTGACACTTTCATTGATTCACAAAGAGACCTATAGACTCACCACACAGAAACCAATAGACTCTTCAGAAAGACCCCATAGTCTCACCACGCAGAAAACCATAGACTCACCACACAAATTTGAATTAAGTGGGTGGGTTGCATACATTTTTTAAACATATCGAAAGGAAACCACCCACTTTTATTCAGTAGATCAATTTGATCTATTCTGAGGTCAAATAAATGTATTCTCGTTTTGAGTGCAAATAAAAGTGTGTGCATTTAAACATGTTTTTTACGTAATTTTTTGTATACGTTTTAGTCTAAATATTTGCTTTCAATGCTTTCACAATTTCTCTCTCTCAAAAAGCTGAATTGAAATGTATAAAATAGCAAAGTTAAATGTGTCAATTTTGTCTTGTTATATATAAATATTAACTAGCGGTAAGTACCCGGCGTTGCCCGGGCAAAAAAAACAGACACACACATCGACCTACACACGCAGACATTGACGCACACACACAAAGACATGGACTTACACATACACACATATGGACTCACACATACAGACATCGACTTCAGATACACACACACGGAGTTACACACACAAATCGACATACACACATACAGTGACTCACACCCACACATACGTAGACTCTCACAGACACATTGATTTAAGCACACATATGGAATTACACAAACACACATGTCGACTAAGAGACACGTACATTGACTTACACACACACATGGACGCACGCACACATATGAGCTTATATACAACAACAACAACCGCCATTCGCCACTAAGTGGCGGTGACGTCACCACGATGCTTGTGCCAGGCCAAGTGCACCTTGAGGCCACGTGAAGTGTCGAAAGCCCGCTGGCAGGAGGTCACGGGGCAGACCCAGGTGCCACGGGTCGACTGACCGAGATGACCGAGATGACTGGCTGATGCACCACCTGTGCCTCCTACTGTGCTGACTTGCTGTGCTTTAGCCACCCGGCGCTCCGCCCGTTGTTGTGAGCGTCGCTCCTCCGCCCTCCGTTGTTGTTGGAGGGCGACTGCCTCCAACTGCCCAGTAGCGTCCTTCACGAGCCTCCTCCACTGAGGCCGATCTTGACACCGCTGGTACCAGTCATCGGCAAGTCCACTCAGCTCCACGTCCTCCTGTACCACATCACTCCATCTCTTCTCCAGCCCGTGCCGCGCCCGTCTAGCCCCCTCGATCCGGCCGAACAAAAGCTGTTTAGGCATGCGGTGGCTGGGCATGCGGGCTACATGACCCAGCCAACGCAGCCTTGCCTGCCGGAGGAGCTCACTGATGGGACTTTGCCCAGATCTTTCAAGGATTTGTGAGCTCCTCACACAATCCAGCCTGGTTAAACCCAGGATGGATCGTAGGCAGGCCAGCCTAAATGTTTCCAACCGGCGAAGATGTTCCATTAGGTGAGCCGGTTATGAGCACACTGGCCAGGTATGGGAAACTCTCCACTCTCTCCACTAGGCCTCGGCAAGGTAAGGTACAAGTTAAAAGGTAAAAACAACGAGCCTATGTGGGGGTCGCTGGCTCCCGAGATCCCTCTCTCGATAACGCTAACGGCCGGGCTAACATCATTACTCGCCCCCCCCCGCTGCTAGGCGAACCGCTGCTGGGTTCCTCACCCATGGGGTGGGAGCCGTCGCTCGAGGATTCCCCTCCACCGCGGGTCCGCGTAGTAGGCATGGTTAATTACCGAGTAGTATTACGCCCCCTTCACACTACCACGATACCTCCCTTTCCTAATCGCGCACCTGTATCCTACACGTAGCGAACGTACGCCCACACCCACACACAGCTCCGCTCGCGCTCACTCGCTACGTGTATACACAGTATTGCGCACTCCAAACGCAACCCCTTCCTTTGCGCCGCTCTGCGCAGCGCTCCCACGTGGCGAACCACTGTGTACACAGCACCACACGCGTTCACACTTCTCAACGAGATCACACGAGGCCACGATCAGCTATTAATGATTTATTTTCGGCTACCTGGGAATTGATGTTAAATCAGTATGAATCGACGAGGCTGGCCTCTTCTACTACCCCTGGACCTATTTCCTATTTATCGGCTTATGATACTAATTCACCTTCTTACTCACGGTTCGAAGTATCTGGTGTCCCGTGGATTCTCCTCGCTGCTCGTCTGGGCACGTCGCACGGACGTCCGGAGGGCAGAGCTGGGAGCCACCTTGATCGCTGGCTTCTTGGAGTCAGATCCCTCTACCTTGCTACCATCCCTTTTATCCTCTCTCCCGGACTCCCCGAACACTCTTCGCTCTCTCCCCCGTTCATGCGCGGCGCATATGCTAATCAATCCCTTTCTCATGCATGGTGCCTTGGTTATGCAAATTATGCGGCGGCGTCCATCACAAAGGCATGCCGTGGGAAGTTATGCGTGGAGCCTCCGCGTGTCTCTACCACTTACCCTATCAATTGCGCATGATGCGCCCGAGTCGTCTCTTTGATTATTTGTAATTCCAGCTTTACCCTTTAATTTCCTTAATAATGGTACTTACGTGCTCGAGCCTCTTTTGGCATGTTAAATTATGCC